AAAAATTGGTCCTTGATTTCTTTATTTATTTAAGCTTGGGTTGTAGCTACATTCTGTTTTGTATTATCTGTTTTTATTTTAATTTATATTGTTGCATTATTAGCATATTTTATTCACCTTTCCTACGTTCCAAATTCCACATACAAATTATACTTGATCTTCCTTGCCTTTTCCCCCAACAAAAAAAGAGAAAAAGATTATTTTTTATTCGGTTCTTTCTTGCAAATCCTTGAGCATCAGTCAAGCATCAAATTATGTTTTAACATTTTTACGACATTTGTTTCAAATTAAACCAGGGAGCTCCCAAGACCTTTACGCCCACTCTCGGGCCATGGCTGCTGCATTGTTTCCGCTTTCAGTGGAATATTTGAATAGCCGCCTGCTTAGGGGATAGAGCTCGTAATTATCTACTCGACCACCGCTGGACGTCTCAGCAGCGCAAATTTCCAATTAAAATTAATGAAATATTTTAGAGGATTTCGGCTGAAGACGGTTGAGTCGGGCGGGGTCAAGTCGTAAAAGCATTTTGGAAAATCTTGTCAAAGCCGTTTCATAATCATAAACTTGCCTACAATTCTTTATTCTTTTCCTTCGTTTGGGGGGTGTAATTATTAGCACCCAAGGAAAATTGCTTGGGATAATTCCCCGAGAGACGTCGGGGGGTGGCAGTCGCGAGAGACTTTGAAGTGTTGAGGTTTGCAGGTCCCTCAGGGATGTGGATGTGGTGACCCCGACTCGTCGACCTCTCCTGTACTTTTGGTTTGACATTTTGCTGCTGTTTGTAATTGAAATTTTTTCGCATCACCAGAAAGAGAAAAACTTTCGCCACACGTTTACCACGGGTTCTTCTTTTTTTGCTGTTGCTGTTTTGCTTCTACTTTTTAATTTGCAAGTCTCGGCGTTATAAATGACCAAAACACATACGTAGAATTAATGACAATGCCCAGGACTTTCTGTCAGTCAGTCAGTCTGATGGACACGGGAAACGCAGTCCGAGTTGGAGGAGTTTTGCAAAAAGCATTTCTGCTTAATGTTGATTAAAATGCCAGTGCGCTTTCTATTTTGTGGCGTGAAAAAATGCTGTCCAAGCTCGAGCCATTCCCGCTGGAGCAACCACTCCTCCGAGCCTTTTTTGTTGGCCATATTGACAGCCGTGAAAGTTTTTGGCCAGCCAGCCAGTCAGCATCACAGCAGGCAGCTGTCTGCACTCGGCCATCGAACAATGGCGAATGGATAAATGGCGGAACGCTCCGATGAACGACGGTTTGAAATGTATTTCGGGTGTATTTTTTTTTTTTTTTTTGTGTGTGCCTGTCTTTATTTTTTCTACCACGAGGCAGTGCGTAGACAAATGAATGAAAATGTCAAACTGAATGGCGGCAAAGGGTTTGGGGTTCAAGGTTTTTCGGTGGGGTTTCAGTGGGGAGTTCACTGGAATGGGAGAGACTGGAGCAAACCTTCCTAATTAGACATTCTAAGGCACAGATCTGCACATTAAACAGCTCCTAAATTTAAGTGGATTAATGGGACATCTCAGAGCACTCCGGGAACACCATGGAATGGAACAAAAAGGTACAGTTGCGCACTTGTAACCCCTTTTAGTTCGCAACTGTACCCCGGTCTGTGCCTCGAGTGCATATTCAGTGCAGTTTGACAGCCCTTCTGCTGGATGGCACGGAAGTAGCCATAACTTCCAGATATAATGACAAAGCAATTAAACATTATGGCAATCGTGGAAGGGCTGCAACCCCCCAAGCAAACAGAAAAACAATCAAAAGCGGTGTTGAGACATTCTCTGGGGGCGGCAGGGGTAATAGCTTTCGAACAATAAATGTCCGCAAAACCATTGACATGGCCAGCTAAAGGCAGGAGCATGGGTCGGGCAGATGGAGATGGATGGAGATGGGTTCTAGGAGTGGGCCAAGAGCCAGTGGCCAAGCCATTACGATGGAAGTCTCGACGAACCTGGACTGCAGACTGCAAAGCAATTCATCTAATTTGCATGAGGCCGGCCCTGCTGCTCCCCATATGGGGGTTGGTGGCGGCAGTCGCACAATAAATAAAATTAAAATGATGGCAAACAATGCACGAGAACCGGGAACCATAGAAGGTCTGAACTGGACCAGACCGGACTATTCCTGTAATGCGACACACGCGTAATGACCCACGAGGCACAAAGCACAAAGCCTGCGAGAAAAAAAAAGAGCTCCAACAACGGGAGCGAGCAAAATTGAAAAAGGAAATTGTTTGTAACTGCGAAACGAGTTTATTATTTTGGCACCCTTTTGGTTGTGCCACACCCACCCACAAGGGTCTGGGAAATCGCGAAAAATTTTACATATGGCTTTTGGGCGGACTGGACGTTCCGTCTGGCCCGTAACCGTAGTCGTAGCCATGGGTCCGTAACCTTTTTTAATTAAAATGTTGACAGGCGCATGGAAAAATGCAAGCCAGGGCGCTACGCCGCGAGTGTGTTGTGGGCGGAAACTGTTTGCTGTAGGAAGGAGCTGCAGAGCATCTCAATGGGCCATCAAAAAGTCAGACATGGTGGAACATTTTGAACCGCACCATTGAGCAGACATCACCTACGGGCTGAGGACAAGAGACACACAAAGATGGAGCCGAAAGCACAATAGATACGTAAACGTCTAAAGGTGGATTTAATTTATGGCAAATAATATTCCATTATAATTTGTAGCTACCACAATATTTAGGGTACACCTTTCCCACTCTTTCCCTGATTCGTATCAATTGTGAGCACTTCTCGCGTTAAATTTTTGGTTCAAATGCGGGTCCGCTCTTTTGTTGTTTTGTGCATAATTTTCAAGTACAAGATTGTCGAATCTGCCTACGGGTGGGTAGCTGCTGAGTTCCCATCATATGGGGGTTGTCCGTGCACAAAATTTGCAAAACTCTGTGAGATATTTTCGCTTATTTATAGCGACACTTATGACATTTAAGTGGTTTTTGCACTTTTCGCTTCGGCACGCGGCGCCACCAAAAGAAACTTTGCCAAAAAAAAAATGATTTAATGTTTTTTAATTGAATTTTAAAATAGCTCCCAGGTTTTCTTCTGCTTGGGGGTAGGATTATCTCATGTGTGGAAGGTTTTTCCTTTAGGAAAATGCTCGCATATGTTGCTGGTTTTTTTTTTGTCTGGTGGAAAAGCTATAGAAATAGATACGACAATCCCTCCCCACACTCTTCCTGTTGCGTTCGTTGCCTTCGAGGCGTATCAGTTTACAATTACAAATGTCAGTTTTGACATGATAAATGGGCATATGTGGGCGAGGATTTTCCTGTTTCGCAGTTTTGAGCATTTTTCCTACTCCATTTAAAGGGCCTGTTTCTGGCATTTCGTGTGTGCCGCCCCCCAGGCGCCCTTAAAGGTTAAATGAAATGAAGGTTTGGGGCTTAAAGTCCCCGCATTTGTTGTTAAAATGTTCCTGTTTAAATTTAAAATAAATTGTGAGTTTCGTAGTATCCCGAGGCACGCCGGTAAGTACCCCGTTGAAATTTGATGCCGCTGCTAATTAAGTCAATTCGCATTACTCAAAACATGAAATGGAAACAGGCATAAAGAACTGGGGAGAAAAAAAAAGGACAATCGGGGTGTTTATAACACAATTTAATGGGCGTAGGTAATAGGAGGCGAGACAGTGGTTAGGGCAAGAAGTTGGAGAAATTTTCTGAAAGTTGAGACTATTTATTGTGGCAATTGTCATTTGGGGTGTGACAGACACCTCAATAGGTTATGCAACACCTAAATGTGGGCAATGATCACAAGCAATTAGCATTTGGGAAAACATTTTTGGAGGTAACTTGAGTAACCCTGACAGTTGGTTTGGCTAAACGGAGAGAGACACATCGACCCACCTCCAATCAATCAAAGTGGAAACCAATTTTTGTTCCATTCAACATTTGCCTAATTGAAATAGAACAAAACTGAACCACTTGTCATTGCAGTAGCTGAAACTGGTTGACAGTTAAACTGTCATTTTTTGGGTTCAGTCCACACCCAATACACAGTTTCTGGTTGCTCACATATGTTCACCTTTTTGTTCATTTCGCTGTGCGGCATCAGAGTTAAGTGCTTTAGTTTTGATTTTCAATTATGTCACATTAGCACCGAAGGCTCTCATTCGCTCTCTCCCTGTCTTATCCTGCAGGCTATTAACAGGCTTAGCTACTGCCCTGACATCAGTCATCGCCAGCAACCCCCCGAGGCTGACCATTTCCAGCATTTCAAACTCCGCTCGCTCATGTGTAAAATGTGGAAAAATTTCCTTTTAAAGTTACAGCCTGAACGCTGGGAATTGCATTTATAAGCGGATTAACACAATATCTCTATGCGTAAACTCTTAAACTCCATCACGACCGATAAATTGGCCTTAAAAAATTGTAACAAGTGTTGAGCATAAAATCAAAAAATATTATTAATGCATATTGACTTTTCGTTTGAGGAAAGGGCTTCAAAAGAAACGGGCAGAAGGGTTGCATTGCCATAAAGCCTCCTCAAATTATTAACTGAAGCAGCGATACATTGCATTGAGGGGATTACACAATTAATTGCCAAAGTGTACTTGCGGCGAGCACATGGGAATTTATAGAAAAAGGTAAGGCGAGGGCACAAAATAAAAAGTCAATCAAATAATTATTCCCATAAAATTAAAACGATTTTCAGTAAACAAATTATTCGACTCATTTCCACTTTATTTTTGTCATATTTTCTTTTGTATTTTTAGTACCAAAATTTCCTACAAGTAAGTTGATTTGATAAAATCTTCAAACTCTGCTAATGGTATTTTTTTTATGGTTTTAATTTAATATTTTATTTTATATAAAAAAATGTATTTATTTGCTGATAGCTTCCAAAGTGTAATAAAGTTTAAAATTGTTCCATTGTGTCCACTGCACAGCAGCCAGTGATGGGTAAAACATCGATACGATATCTGCACGATACATCGAACTAGAACTAGAACTTTCATCTCTGATACTTATGTGCATACATTTAGCTCTTTCCTGTTTCCGGATTCCGATTGCTGCAACGTGTTCGAAATGCTGACCAAATTACCTATTACGATCATTGACCAAATACTCGGTTACCTGCCAGAGGAAGACCAACTGCAAGTGGCCCAAGTCAATCAGCAGCTTGGCCACGCATTTGCCTATCACGCTAGACAAAAATATAAAACAATTTTTTTCTTCAAAATGGGTGAAAGGGCAGATGACGAATTAAGAGTCATTCTTTCACTATGTGGATCCACTGTTGAAAAAATTGTAACCGAACATGGGAACTTGTCGCCTCAAATTAAGGAACTCATCAAAAAGTACTGCATTAATCTCAAAAGTTTGGATACAATATGGCAATTCTATCTAGATTGCTGTTCTACCATAGTAAGATTAGACACTTAATAAGTAAATGTAAAAGTATTTAAAACTTTGCTTACAGGCAAATGGGCGAATGCACAAATTTGAAGAAAAAAGTAGGTACAAAAATGTATATTTTTCGTTACAAGAACACCAGAAATACAAACGTTTTTTTTTTTTGTTTCAGTGCTGAACCTTAAATAGTTCGACATGGACTCGGAAATGCCAATATTCAATATTGAATCCCACTTTAATCTTTAATCCCATTATAACAAAGTATTGTCAACACACTGGAGAGTCGCATATTGCTTCCTATACACACAGGATATAATAACATAGCGTAATATTGTAAGATCTGAGACTAATGTTGAATATTCCCCAAAGTTCGTGGCTAATTAATATACGAATTTCAAGCCACCGAAATGAGCAGTCAAATTTGCATAACCAAAACACAAACGTTCAAACTAATTAATATTAAATTGAAGCAAAATTCCAAAATTTAATTTCGCGCATCAAACTTTACGGAGGGTGGATGGGGAACCCAATCCATCCATCCATTCCGATTCCCTTCCTCCCTGACCAACTATTGACTTTTGACTTTGGCCACGGCCTGACGGGCCTGATGACTGTTCTGCGGCTTTTGCTAGAACGCCCCTCATGGATATTGCGGCCGGAGAGCAATTCATAATCATGTCATAAAGCCGGGGGAGCACCTCAAACCCCCCAGCGACAGGCATTCTTGCCGCTTAACCCGCTCCTGGCCGTGGCGTGGCGAGGCTGCTTAATTACAACGGCTTTAAAGGCGATTTCGAACTCGGCTCATTGCCAAAACGCAAAATTTTCAATTGACTACACATCAGGGTGGAGGATGAACAAGTGGCCCGGACCTGAAGGGTGGCTACAGATTATTAATTAAGAATTTTACACGACCCCACCACCTCGGCCACAGCCTCATTGCCAGCTGAAAGCTGCTTAAATTGCTGAAATATTCCGCGGCTCATCGGCGGATGATTGAAAAAAATCATTTTGTGCGCGTGAATTAAATTTTCGCGGTCTGTTGTCAGTCACCAAACAAAAAGAAGAGGAGAAGAAGGGTTAGAGCGACAACCCTTGACGGACTACCCATTCCTGGGTGACCAGAGGACCAGAGCTTATTAGAATTTTCCGCTTAAATGTACTTCTGGCACTTCAGCCGCCCCGCGAACAAGTCATCGTCTTGGCCGCAGCTCACTTTTGGCCATGTTTGTTTAGGTTTAGGTTGCAATCTTCTATACGACACCGCAGCAACTCCTTCACTTTCATTTTTTACTTCCCTTTTCCGCGCTTTTTCTTTTTTGCCTTTCTACCTTTGATCCTTTGACGCGCTTTTGTTATCCTTTTTTGTTTGCTGTTTTTTCACTCTTGGATTCTCCTTAATTTTGGCTTCATAATTTCGCCGACTCGCCCACCACTCCGCCCCTGACCCTGACTGTGTTTGTTTTCCTTTTAGCCAAATGCCGCGCTAAGCTGCCAAAGTGCCGCATTTGTCTGACGGGTTTTTCTTGCCGCTGCTTTTCTATGTTTTTGGTTTTTTTGCTGCTCTTGTTTTGATTAAAAATTTCCTCTTTTTCGCCGACAATATTTGAGTTTATCTTTGGCAGCAGCGGATTAGTAGTAAACAGAGATAGGTGGGTGGGAGGAGGTCTTACTTCTGGGCCTGTTTACTTAGGCCATAATGCGTATTTCAGCGCATTTCAATTTCAACGAATTCTTGTGGAAATATTGGGTGGTGACTTAATGGCTTGAAGCATGGATGAAGAGTGAGTTTAATTGAGACTTGAGACACATGCAGGCTTCAAAAGAAAATAAAGAAACAAATGGAAGTTCGCTTAATAACATAAGAATGTTAGCTAATGGAATATATTAAATAAATAGCACACCTAGACATCACAATTAAATTTATCTCTGGTGGCCAGTCCCTTGAATAAATATGTTAAAAAAGAGAAAATAAATTAAAAGCAAGAGTTTCCCCTACGCTTAAACAGATGTCGCATACAAATCTCAATAGGAGTGACAAAAAAAGTATTAAAGTTTACCTTTTAAGCCGTAAAAATATGACCTTAAATACAATAACGAAACTGTTCTCAGATAAAACATGGTATAGTCTCTACATTAAGCTGAACTAAGCGAAAAAAATTAAAGTAAAGAAGTCAGCAACCGCCTAGAAACCCATGCTCTTACGAATTTCTTTGGCCATCCCACAGATCGTTGAGCATCAAGTATTGGACTGGAATGGCGGTAACCGAACCGACTGCCAGCCAAACCCACTTGAGTACGCATTCGCTTGCGTCTAATGAGTTGTATCAACAACAAGTACCAAAGGCGGCTCCGCCCTCCTGCCAAGACTCTCTGTGTTCATTAAGCCTCGACTGAATGAGTTCGCGCAAAAGAAGTTACTTGTTGTCCTTCAGCCCAGACCCCAGACCCCAGACCCCAGCACTGCTTTCACTTGCAGAAAAATTGTGCAAAAGAAAAAACCTACAAAATGCCAAACACTTGATCAAATATTTTGCAACTTCATCGTGTGCCCATCAAGCGCAGAATTTCAAGTGCTGCTCGCCGCTCCGCGCCGTTCATTTGCCAGCTCGGCATTTGGTGTGCAGCGAATTGGATTTGGTTTGTAATTAAAATGAATCCAAGAAGAGTGGACTCCTTTCCCCATCTTCGATTACGGATGCAAAACCCGTTGAGCTTCGAACGATTCACTGGGGTGTGACAAATGGAAGAACCATTCTGGATGGGGCAGGCCTTTGCTTCTCTCTGCTCTGAAAGTTGACTACTTTAAGTTGTTGTTCCATCTGTAGTATTGTCAGCTACTTTCCAAGCCATCAGGCTAATTAAACGATTCAATTTGGAGTGCAAGATACAGCTCCTCATGTGCCACCTTTCGGAGCGGAAGTGTGTTTTCATGTAGGGGTGGAACGCATTAATAAACATTAAGGAAAGATACAGGCACACATGGCAATGTAGGTCAAAGAGACTCGTCTCGATAAGGAGTAGGATGTGGCACTGACTCACTTAACTTTCGGGATCACCCCATCACCCCCCATAGACAACCTCATTTGACTGATGAACCCGTGTTGACATATCCCCCACCCGCCACACAGCAATTCTTTTGACACTGACACATGACATTTGTCGAGGCCGACTTTTGCTTGAATATCATCTCCCTTTTGGCCATTTGGCGAAATTGTTTTCCAACACAGTTGAGTAAACATTTGGCAGGGAGTGGCTCTGTCTCTTCCTCTGTATGCTCCCAATCCCATTCCTATATGCCGCCGCCTTTTGTCGTCAAAGCATAAAAAATAGTCTCTGTTTTCCGTATGGAAAAACATTCCCACAAATGTGCGATATGTGTGGAAACGTTGTGCATGTTTTTTTGTATTCGTTGATATTTCTAAATAAAATTGTTGAAATACTTGCTATGTTTTGGCATTTCATGTAGCCTTCTTTTTGGGCAAAAACAAATATGCATTACTTTTATATTTGATTGAAAGTTTGTCCCTTTTGCAAGGCAATATTGGATTCTGTTTTCCGCTGTAAATAGAAATATTTTAATAAAGCTTAAAGGGTTTTTCTCATAGATTTTTGCAATAAATCCCTTAATTTTCATGCCTTTTTCCGGAGCTAATAGCAAATCGAATGTTGGCTCATTAGGGTCACCATTTCCGTGTTAGGATAGGGTTCGATCAACTGTTGAATAGAAGCCATTAAAAATGATACTTGAACGGATCGGTCTCTGTCTCCATTATTCAAACTGCCAGAAAGGCGAAACAAAAGAAAACGCTGCACGGCATGCACGAAAGCGCACATTAAATATTTACACTTTATTTTTATAGGGACACGGAACGAGCGGGAAAGGAACAGAGGAGACAGGCCCTAGCCGCAGTCCCTCCATCAGGCCCGACCGAAACGAGTGCAATCACATCGTCTCACATTATGGCTTTAATGGCAATGACAACTGTTGGCCATGGCTCGAAGAGACCAAACAAAGAACTACGGAGGGCAGGACACTTCGGGCAAGTGAACCGCAGGATATGGCTCAGGTCAACGGAAGCCATAAAATTCTCGTTTGTCACGCGAAATTTTTCGCCTCCCAAGAAAAATGCCACCACATGCAAAAGACAAAGTTCCAGCGAAAATAAAAGGAAACTGAAGAGAAACAAACCAGAAAAAAAGGGAAACAAAAAGCAGAGACAAAAACAAGAAGGAGCGCGTATTGCGGAGTGTCTCGACTATGAGTTATCCTGGTGGTGGAAAAATAGCTAAAAAACTACGAGAAGAAATCTACCAAAAATTCCACAATTATTCGCCAAGTGCCGCTGGAACAGGCAGATAAAATGTTAACCAGCGACCGAAACTGCACCAAAAAATACACCCTTTTAGGTCTGCGCTGGTACCGGGTACAATAATAATAGTAATGGGGGAAAAATGCGCAAAGACAACGGAACGGGAGACGGAGACACGAAAAACTGCAGTGGGGTATCAAGTTTGCTTTTCCCTGCAACTTGCCAGATAGAATTATTTACGTTTAGTTTTTATAGTTTTTTATGGCCACATAGCTAGCAAGGTGTGGGTGGGTTCTCTATGGGTTCTCTATCGTAAAATATGGGCGCAGGTTTATTTATGCCCCGCTGTGGCGACATTTCTGGTGGACGGGCTCCAGCGCCATTTTGGCTTTGCCTTTGCCTTTGCCTTTGTTTTTATGACTTGACGGATTGCAGAAGCTTCTTCTGCCCCAGTCCACGGTTATCTGTCCAAAATGCTTGCGCTAATGTCAATTAAATTTGAACAGACGACGAAAGCCAAATGAAATTTTAATTACCGCAAATGAGCTGCAGGAGTGAAGCGAAGGGCAGGGAAAACGCAGGACTAATGACCAAAGAAATTGGCCACTTTAAACTCTTATTTTCCACTTGAATTTCGAATGGATTGGTCTATCGAAAATGAAGCTGAGACTGAGGCTAATAAAAATTTAAACTAAAATATAGCCATATCCCTTGCTCAACTTTAATTATCTTTACAGCAAGCAAAAACCGTGGAACGACACGTAATCTTTTCTATAATTTGTTAAATTTGTCGCGGCAAAAGTTTATTACTCCGGACGACGATGTCGCCAGACACACAATGAGGCAAAAGTGCATAAATTGGACTGGCCTGGACTGGTCTGGGCTGCCTACGGTTATCGTGGATACGAGGCAGGACAAATTACGTACTACAAATTGCACAATGTTTGACTGTGTTCTTTCTTCCCGTCGTGCTCCTTGTTGCTGCATGCATTTTGGTCATATTTCCACTAACCCAACCAAAAACAAAAAAAAAGCACAACAACAAATCGACGATAAGAGGAATTTATAAGCATTTTGGCCTGGTCAACTGTGGGC